TATTATTATTATTTTGTCGCGACGGTCTAACTTGAGTACCGTTCAAGAGCACTGAACTCAATGTAATATGGAACGCATATTGCCTATATAGGCGGCTGCCATTTTGTGAACAGTTATTGTTTTGTCCATGATCGCCTAACCTAACATTTTATGTATATGTATTAAATTTTAATTGGCCCATTATTTCAGTGATGATGAGACGGTAATATATTTGATAGATCATGGAAAAACAACACTTGTTCTCAATATGGCGGCCATCCACTAGTGGACATTTTCATGAACAGTCGTCTATACCGACTTCTCATAATATATGAGTTCAGTGGCCAGGGGGCTTCATTACAAAAAAATTACAAACCGATAGAAAAAAAAAATTACTGTATAATTAATCAGCCCTTTGAAGTTTAGATCATCGTCTTGGTTTTTTTAATTTTTATTTTGGATTTTAATTAAACCAACTTGTTTCAATATAAAAGTTTGTACAACAAATTTAGAGTTATAAAACTAAAAGTTTTTTTTTTTTTAAATAAATAAATAAACTTAATTAGGTTTTTTCTCTTTAATCTTTGTACATGGCATCACGAGATCTGTGTTTTAAAAGTGCTGAGCTATTTCTGCTCAACTAAAAACACATTTCTTGCAATCCTCGTTCGTGTGCGTCCCCCGGGAACCCGACGGTAACATAATATACTTAATTTTGTTTGTTTGTAGGTAAAAACGTGTAACAAAATAGAGAAGAATAATAAGTAAAGATTCGAGTATACTCAATAATCTAGTTCATATTTGAATAGATGTAATTAGTTCAAACTATTCAACGTCGATGGAGCGTCGTCCCCGAATACCCTTCTCGAGGTATCGTGGAATAATTATTATTACTTGTATCGTGTACTTAAATTGTTTTCTAAAGACTCAGGAAAAGAAAACTAGAATATACATTACACACATATAATACACTAGTGAAAAGATTGCTAACTGAAGCACCCTTCAAACATATATTATGATGTATATAATACGGGTGACCTTTTAGGGACACTTAAAAAAAAATAATACAAACAAATTAATTTTGTTTACACGGTATATACAGGAAATTTAATTATTAAACGGCACACGTGCACCAATTTGTCCTTAATTATTTGTGTTTATACATGTGCAAGAATATTATATTATTATGTTTGTGCATTTATATGCTGTACAATGTACCTAAGCGTGTCAGTACAGACTACAGTACAGTATTATTTACCAAAGCTAATTGTGTATTATTCAGGCTATAACTATTCCAATAGAATGTAATTTTAACCGATTAACATGACTAATAATTCTATAAGCATATTCTAAGAGAATCAGATGTTTTATGTTGACTTAATATAAAGTTTATGTAAATGGAAACAATGCACAGGACCGGATGGCGCTTTGAGGGTAAGACATTCAGTTTATCGCTTAATATTGTTAATACAGTTATATACGTGTATATTGTTTCACTCATTAGTTAACTTTTTGAAATGATATATTTATGTAGGTAGAGACTTTTCACAAAATACTAGGTTTACAAACAAAATTGTTTTAAAAAATCACGATTTTAAAGCCATATAAATTTTAAGAGTATATGTTTTCGGTGTAATAACACTATGGAGTTATATAATAAAATGTATACATAATAATAATATGGTTATATAATAAAATAGTAGGTATAATACATGCTATATTATAATATTGTACTTAAATAATTGTTTTTAACAGTATCCGAAGATTTCGTTAACTTTTACTGTTAACAAATTATCTCGTGTACTAAACTATATGAACTTTGTTTCAATTTTACTTGGCTTATATTTTTTATTTAGTGATTTCCATGAACAATAAAAAAAAATGTTTTATCAAAATTTTATACTTCGTATTATAAAGTCATAAATAAATGCTGATGTAATTTACTCGGGGTAACCGTAAAGTTTAAAGTACACAAGAACGTTTTGAATGCCTATAAATATTTCCAAGACAAGAAACACTCATAAAATTCACAAAGAAATGTTTTTTGGGCCCAAACTAACAGAATATAGTTAATGCACGTTATGTAGGTAATCTATATATTTATAAAAAGGTATTTAGGTGAACTATACCTTTTATATTTTCTAAAATAGAAAAAAAAGTTTTAACCTTCGGGACGCGTCAATAATATCATCCACCATTCTCATTGTATTTATCTGTATGTGAGAAGAGTGGAAAATCTACTTAAAACTTTAGGTTCTGTAAAAAGTTTTTAGTTGAACTTTTACGTGACTGTTTTTCTACGACCCGAAAACCAACATAGTCACGCTTTATCAAACTGGACGTTCATTTTGGAACATCATTCCTAATTTTTGCTTTTAGAATAAAAAAAGTGACACGAAGTACTTTATAAATCTACACGTTACGGGTTACCATAATCAATTCTAATTAATGACTCAAGCTTATTATATTCTCTGAAAAGAGTTCAAACGATATGCAAGTATCCAATAAGTAGTATAAGCATATTAATTAAATGATTACAATCCAGACAGCGAAATATAAAATAATTAACTTGATTAATGTTATTTTACTGTAAACATTTATAATATTTAAAAGTATTTTTTTTTTCTGTCGGACTGCATACAATATTTAACACTTCGATATATGATAACAGGTTAAAATTTAAATAAAATGTTATTCAAAAATTAAATTAAATATTATTTTATTACTTTAATGAACACTTTAATTAAAATTTTCAACTCGAATTGTGTGTGTACTGCTTACGTTTTCTTGATAACCGGTCTTAGTCAATAAATTATCTATTTATTATCCACTAATTAGCATCGAACCATTTTGTATGGCAGATATTGACTATATAATATTTTTAATAAATAAATAAATAAATATATATATTTGAAGTCTCTAACATTTTTTCCCTAACTCATATTTACTAGTTGTCACTATACAGTCTACAGTATGATATACCGACCCAGTTAAGCGAATGCCTTCACGTTAGCTGTTATACTACCCTATACAATTTAAGATCCGGACGGGTAGAAATGTAGAATGACTGTTTAAAACACCAAATTGTAATTACATAGTTTCCAGAATAATGCATTCACCAAAATTTCACATCGCTTAAAGTAAAAATACATTTTCCTATTCTGTTTACACTGTCTATTGAACAAATTTCATGTTTTAATATTGGGATAAATTTGTGTGGAGACGTTTTACTCCCCCTAAGAACACGCTATCGCTATTCAATACTGTTTTAGGAAACTTATATTGTTTCACAACAAAGTTATATAATATGCGGTAAGGTTTGCTTCGAATAACAGACAACGGAAAACAGTTGTTTTCGTTTTAATTTTGTTAAATACTTGGATTTAAGCTTAGAAAACAAGTTATATTATTAATAAGCACTAACATCATACATCACGTTCTAGTGATAATATATTACTACACAGTTTTCTATGATATTTGCTATTTTATTTGATGTACCCCGCCCTTGGCTTGCCCGTTCTGCCGTTGTACTAGCTACAGCTATTTTTACGATTTTCACGCGTAAAATACATATAATATATATTAGTGTAGGCATCATGTAAATAACACAATTTATAAGCCCTATAAGGTAATAGCTAGTGCACTAATGGCTGTATCTTTAAAGCTACAGCCTATGTGGACAAATTTGAATTTTGAAATAAGTGCATCGAATATGTTCTACAAAAGGTTTAATATAACAAATAAAAAGTAAAAAATATTTCAGATAATTATATAAATTAAAAATTAACGTAAAACCGAATTTGCTTGACACAAACAACACAAGTACTTCGACAAGACTCATTTTTCACTATTATCCATACGAGGAATAGATAAAATAAAGCGTTTTAGTCCTAATAAAACTATTTTGGATATTTTTACCGAAAATGCAATAATAAATGTAGGCACACAAAATAAATGAACAGTATAGGTGTATACAATTTTTTACAGCCCGTCACCGTGGTATTGCCAAGCCTCGAACACTGTTAAAAATTAACACGGGGAACATACGTATCACACAAAAACGCGGCGGCCATCTTAAATCTACACGGTACACCACTGTAATGCTGTATCTATACATTATTATTATTATTAGTTGTGTATAGATATCAAATCTAATAATACTAAATAGATTTTACAAACTGTCCGTCATTTTTCTTTTTAATTACATCGAAAGTGACCCTTCTGTTTTTATCTATTCCGCGGTAATGCCATATCCTTTTTATATTTTTCAACGACAGAGTAAAACCACATAACACCTGTTGTATCATACACATAGGCGATGATATTATTGTTTGCCGTCAAATGTACACATCGGGGTCGAGAAAGATTTTTTGGTGAACCACCCGCGTTCGGGGTCGGGATTCAATATACGCAATTAAAGTGGCCATTATTTACACGTAGGTATATACTCGTACATAAATATATATATATATATATATATATATTTGTGCGTGTAACGTTATAACAATAATAATAATAATAATATAGTGCAGCCAACGGTTGGCGGGATGTTAAGAATCAATCTTTGCGCGCGCAAAGGTCACCCGCCGGTCCGGGGGATGATGGGTTTTTCGTGGAACGGGAGGGGATGACGAGGGCGGTGGTGGTGGTGGTGGTGGTGGTGGTGGTGGAAGAAGGGCACGAGGCTTCGTTTAGCAAAAGCACCTGTGGTACGCCACGGCGCACGATCGAACCGGGCGACGGCGCACCCCCCCCCCCGCGCCGGCCGGGGGGTAGTTTGCCGAGGCTCTCGTAGTATATTACAACGTAACCGACGAGAGGGACAACAGTACGCACTACAACGGCTCAGGGTCATGAGCTGACCCGGCGGTCGCGCGCCAACAGCCAAAACGCAACAGTGAGAAACGCGTCCAACACCGCTTCCGCTACCGCCGCCGCCGCCGCCGCCGCCGTTGCCACCGCCACCGCCACGTCATATCGCAGCCAGTGTGTATAATATATATATATATATATATATATATATATACATATATATACGTACAAAGATAATCTATCAGCCTCGTAACTACCCTACACGTGCCAATCAGTACATAGTAAGAAAACAAAAAAAAAGAGGAAAATACGCATACACGCTCGCACACAAACACAGGTAAGACGCCTCCTGCAGAATTCTACCACAACTAAACATAGTATAATCGCAACCCGCTTCCCCCCATCGGTGGAGATTAGGGGGCTTGAGGTTATAAGAACCTCATTCCACAAATCTTTGGGTAAAAAATAAATTTAAGTACTTCGAAAAGTAGTAATTATTAGTTTTTAAGTTTTTAATATCCCAAGCCCCTCTTATCTCCGCCAATGCCCTCACCCTACAAATCGTCCCTTCGAATTGGTGATAGTATGCGAGAATGTATGGACACCAAATGCAAGAAATAACCAATCTCTAGTATCCATCATTTTATTATAATCATAGGATGAAGTGATGAGAAATGGGCCCTTCGCGTGTCCCCATGCCACAAGCACAACTAGACCTAAATCTACGGGGGTGATCAATTTTTGGATAGCTTATTTTCTTGTTTTATCATTTATATATTGTTGTAAAAAAAATTTGTCATTTAAATATTTTTTTTTAAGAACGGTTTTGTCTGTCGCCAAGTCCCCACTTGGATAAACTTTAAACCAATGCTGTTAATGCTAAAAAGTGTTTGCCAGTTCAAAAACAAACATTTTTTCAAGTTTAAAGAACAGTTACACAATACAAACTATTTAGTTTTTTACTATACACTCAAAATCCATGTCTTTGAATTTCACAAAAATTGATTCTAAAAACCATGTTCTCTTACACCAACATGTTTGTTTTGTCAGCTGGACTTATTACTGGATACTAATTACAAATTAAATTACATTTTTAACCACGTTAATCCTTAAAAATGACCCATACATTTTGATGTAATATCAAAGTTATTAATCAACTAAAAGTTAGACTAATTGATAAAAATATGAATTATATAAACAAAACAACTTTTACTAGTTTTGTACTTTTATATAAGTAATAACTAATATACATATTAAAACGCGAAAAAAATAAAACAGCTCAACCAAATTAAAAAGTTAATAAAAAAGCTTTTGTAATAGAGGGTGTTAGTTTCGAGTCAAGGTGTTTAAGTCTCCCTAATATCTCTCTACTTGCGTCTATGTAAATAGTTATAGTCATAGCTTTCTTAAAGAACACAGTTTGAGCCTTTCCAGTCGGCCTTTCCAATACTGGTGGTATTTATAAGTTTTCTCCACTGTCTCTTCCGAAGATTGATGAGCAATTTAAGAAAGAAAAAGGTGACACTCACAACTACTGTATGACTTGTCACCTGCACCCTTTAGGTTTTCAGCACTTTTGATTTTCAACTTTTAATTTCACGATCCAAAAGGGCATCTCTATTGTAATGACCCAAAGTCTTTATAAACAAATAACAGTAACAACTATGTACAAGACGTGTATGGGACTCCTTTAGTAGTAGGATGGCCGCTGTCACTATTTAGAAGAATGTACTTTGTGTAAAGGTATTATAGTAATAGGTGGTACTTATTAGTCCATTTCGACAGTTTTAGCTGTAATAGCCAATAATTGGTACTATACCAAAGCAATATCGTCAGACAGGCAAATTAAATAGAATGATAGAATGATGACCCATAAACTATTAGGCACACCAAAGTCGACTCTAGCTCACTTAACCGTCATTGTTGTGTGCGGATCAGCTTTCTGATACAGCCAACGATTTGCATATACTATTATGTATCAGGCAAAAATCCTACCCTTTTTTTTTACAATCAAGTTGTCATTATACAGTACTTAACAAATACTTACCATAATATAGCTATCATAATAAAGTACAAACATAGTTTTATTATTTCAAAAACGAATAAAACATTTTGGCGGTACATTTCCACTCAGAGGACTCCTATTGATTTTTAATAGCGTGCTGTGCCTAAGCACACGTGTTTGACACAAAGCCGTTTAAACGTTGCCGTTTAGTTAGAAATATTCTCAAATCGGTTCGTGATTTGTATCAAACAATAATAATTATTGATCATCACGCTATAAAGATACAGAAGTTATTAATCTTTCGGTAGTTTTCCTGAGCTTTCGTTACAAATTGCATAATGCTTTATTTATTATTATCTTGACGGTACAGCGTTGTGTCAATAGAAAAATGGTCGATATTTTATACTGTTAACATATTATTACTACGTTGGCTATTGCTATAAGTTTACTTGGAAGTAAAATTATCATAAAAATTACACCCAACTTATTGTACTCATTGATCGCAGTATTCATTTTTTTCCATACACTTTAAATAGAATCATATTTAGGTATACAGTTTTTAAAAACTAACTAGTCTTATATTTATTCTCCTTATTATTTCACATCTATCAATTTACACAATTTGGGTATGAAATAATATTGCATACATACATGTTTAGGTAATTTTTAAAAAACATTGAATTAGCTTGATACTACATTATCTGTGTTAAATAATATGCATCCGCTGCAAGTGTTTTTTTTTTAAAGATGTAACGCGAACTAACTAATGGTGTTTTATTTTTCGTTTACTAATGACGCACACTTTTCCAGTAGACATGTTGAGTCCGAAGATGCAGAGATGTGTCCGAGTGGTTGACAATCAATTGCTGATGCTGTCGGATAGAGCTCGCACGGATAGTACTCTCACTGGCAATTTACACAAAAAAGCTTCTGATGGTGGCAGATGGAAGAACCGCTATTTCGTACTCTACCAGGTACTATTTTGTCTTTTTATATTTCACGCGAGTTAACGCTATGTGTTATATACAAACTTACATTAAAACAAAAACGACAACAAAAATACGATTTTATTTTGCAATTCGCACGAAGTATTCGGGTACGAATTTGCTATACATTATTATATAACTATTGTTATTTATACTAATCATCTAAAATTAACCGTTTTTTTTTTTTAATTAATGCATCTTGTCTGATGAACAAAATTATTTGGCGACGACGCTTTAATATTATTACGATTCATTTAATTAAGCGATCTCGTTAGGCGTTAAATAGGCATACTTATATTCATTGCGGTTATAACTACTGAATCTACATTCTACGTATACATTATTAAAAAGCCACCAAATTGTGATTTATTACGAATGGTGCGTTTAAACTTGCGTGTTTGTTTACTTATTTAACGCGAAATCTAACTTCATCGCACGGCGCACTAAAACTGTACTTGATCAAAACAGCTATGTTAACATTCTCGTGTTTCTAATACTTGTAATAAATTAAGGATAATAATATATTGGATAGCGGTGGGTAGTTCTCTAGAACTGAGCGAGTCAAAACGGATCCAATTTATAAATTAAACCTGTGCCCGCGTTGAACTAAGTATAAACCCTAAGTAAAAACAATTTGTTTTGTTTTACTTGTCTTCTTACCGTACCGAAATCGATGATGTTTACAGAGTTTGTTTTTCATCAATATCCAAGGAGACGTATAACGGATTTCTAAATTTAATTTGATTTATATAATAATCAGTATTTGAAACGGCTTAGTTTATTAGAAAACTGAGTAATACGTGGGCGCCATCCGTATTACTACGCATACACTTAGATTACTACTGCAAAACCCGAGGACAAATTTTTAACGGTAACGAAACCAACGTCATATATTTCAGAGCGACTTTCTGCGGATGTGATCCTCCTGCGGTTTACGGTGACTTCGTTTGAAAAGATAAGTTAAAGACAATATGGACCGGATAGTCTCAAACGATTTGCTGGTCGACGAAATTTGCGGCCATCTCGGGGGCTTGGAAGTGTTCACGTTTCTGGACGCCATCGACAAGCGACAAACTCGGGTGCGGGTCAAAGCGGTGGTACAGACGGTGGTAACAGTATTGCGACGCATTGCCGACGCGTTACAGCACATCGACACAATGGTGCAGACCTACCCGATGTGTTACGGCAGTTTTGCCGAAGACTTACTGGGCGAGCACACGTTCGACCACGGCCGGGCGGTAGACATAGCGCTGGTAGTCAGTAACGCTGCTGACCGGCGACCCATACCATTCATAATCGACGTTCATCACCAGCTCATACACTCGTACCCCAGCTGCCAGTTCGTCGGTCTGGGTCTGTCGCACAACCCTCGTTTGAAATTCAACCAAGGGGAATTGCGATTCCAGGTGCGCTTCGTGTCCGTCGAAACGCACATATGTCGGGATTTGGAGAGGTTCGACACGGTTTTTACCGACTTCGACGAGGCCACCGCGAGGCTGTTTGCTCTTTTGTTGGCGCTGTCGCGTGCACCTACCGCCAAGGCAACGAATGCGGCGTTTTATGTACGGGGCGCAGCAACACTAGTTGGCGGGTCCACCGGTCGAACAGAGTTGTTGCCGTCAGCCCCCGATCCCCTGTACAGCCCTATGCCGTGTGGCGCCACGTTTCCTTGGAGCACTCACTACAGGCTCGAAATTTACAGACACGTTAAGAACTACAAGCCCTTTTTTGCGATAACGGCGCATAAGTATCAACAGTGCGGTCAATCCGTAGACTCGCAGACGATCGACGTCCGCGTGTTTTGATTTCACCCGGCGTGGGTTTTCCCCCGAGCCGTGTCTTCTTGTAAACCATTGCCGTGTTGCTGTCGGCTAGCGTTCCTGTGAATCTCAGGCCGTTCAATTACTCGTCTGAAAAATATACCAGATACTGGCGTCGGAGATGTGGTACCTCAAGACCGAAACAATACACTTGTGTATTATCTATGGGAACACGTTCAAGGCTTCCACGATTGATGACGACAAATAATTATTCCCCACGATGTTGAAGTCACTACAAATACAAAGCAATATTACAATTATAATGTCCAGTTAGAGTGTTTCGTTCAGGAGATCGTTCTTGAGGGTTGCTCGCAACGTTGAAATTCAAACTTTAGCACATGCAATGACGAGTGACGAGGTTGATTAAGTCTTCACGGGTGACACAATTTAAAGTATAGTGACTATAGCGGATACTATACGGATTTTGTTGACCAAGGAGTGTGGTGTGCGCCCAAGACAAACAGATTATGGCAAGACGGTAGTCTACAAAGACACCCAAGGATTTGCCGTGGTCGTCAAGGCAAACAATTATACAAGCCACGGTCGGCGTTCAAACCCCAATCACCGTAGAATTCACGCGGATCACTTGCACTAAACGGTCCGGAAGTATGCAAAGTGGTAGGGGGGGGGGAATCGAGTATAGTGACTTACCTACTCATGAAGTATATCGTGTGAAACATGTTTTCGAATAAAATAAAAGCTAAAAAACAGCGTTTTACGAGACCAAAACTCGATATTAAAATATTAACTAAGTTATGTAATATCCATGATATAACATGATGTCTACTGAAACTATATTAGAACATAAATATGTCTACACAATGTGTACACATGGGTTATACATTATATACATAATTTTATTTCAATTGTATGTTGTACATCGCTAGTTTTTAGTTAAACTGTTAATGGCATTTTTATTCATTAGGTAACATTATTACAAATATTTTAAAGCGTTTTCCCTCTGTTAAAAATGATGCTTCTTTTGTTGCCTTTTGGATATTTTATTATGATTTTTTTTTATGAGATAAAACGGCGAGGGGGCTTGTAGGTTGAAAAATCGCACGCTGCGCTGTTCCAATAAATCAACCAATAAAGTAGGGAATCCGGATTTTTAAAGGTAAGGTATTAAAGTCCTTTTTGAGCTCGATGTCTCGATATTTTTTCCTTTTTTACTTCCTCTTCTTTCGCACATGCAGCTTGATTTACGACTTATTTCTCCCGTTTCGTGCCGGGCTTTTACGAAAACAACTAGTAATATGAGCAGGTTTATTTTGTTAGTGAGTTAAACCAGATAACACCTAAATAGACCTTTATACTAACAGAGAGGAAACCAAAAACGATAAAAGAATGAAACAACCAGCTTGGCTTTTTTGACCTCACTTTAACCAAAAACATTACCAATAAGTCAATGTTTAAAACGTTTATATTTCTCGCACATTACCACTATAAACATAATTTTATGTGGTATAAAGTCAACGAGGGTAAGTGTAAGAGTAAGGGTAAGAGTAAGACTCGAGTACAAATAAGTAACAAAATAAAATTCACATTTAGTTCAAATAAATATTGTTTTTTTAAATTGGATAACACACTTTTTAATTAAAGCATTTTTTTTAAATTTGAATTGTAAAACGAGATCTAATAATACAAAAAATAAATAATGACTTTGGTTTGGGAAGTAATAGACTTTTGTGGGCTTTCAAAATCAACATTGTTTGGTGTTTGTCGACTTATAAATTTAATAACATGTCAACATATGCTATTGAATTAGCATTTTTTATCACTTAATGTGTTAAAATCAGTTATTGTTTCCTTTTTTTTTTTTTTTGAAATGTAAATATTTATTTTTTGTGTAGTATTTTACTTAAAATAACAAAAAATGTATAAGTGCGATTAAATTATTACTTTTATTATTAAATTTATATAATCTCATTCGATAAATAAAACAATCGATATTACTAACGAAAAGTACTGTGTTTTTAGTTTTTTAAATATGTATCTATATTTTAGTTTAAGACAAGAGTATTAAGTATAATATTAACTATTATTTTTATTTTGTATTTTTTGGTTTGTATCAAAATGTCAAAAAACACAATTTTATATTAAAAATATTATATTATTAAATATAATTTAAATTGTTTTATAGGCATTAATACATAAAAGAGAGTTGCAAAAACAAAAATATATACATTTTGGAAAATTTTCACTCCAACCTATTATGAAAAAAAAACCAATTGACCGATAAAAGGATAGAACCGATTTGCATCGCTGTTTTCGACCAATCCAATGTACTTATGGCCACGATATAGTGAAGCTGTTGTGCATGGGGTTACTCTAAAATACCACATGAGTCCCCTAAAGTGCGTAATTGTGTTTGTATTGCATTGTAATGTGGTAGCGGTGACGACAGAGCATTGACATTTACATATTCACCGACACAATATCGACCAAGGGAAGTGAGAAAAAAGACCCAACCGCAATACGGCCCTTTGCCACAAAAATAAACATTTCAAAAGATCCAATGTATATGTTGTGTATATACGTATAGACACTACTTGTATCTAATAATAGTTACTGCGTGAGGTTACCTGTTTAGACAGGTTAATGTTACATTAATGTGTAAATGTGAAAATGTCAAAAATATACAGTTATGAGCCAATATTGTACGGTATACCCTGTGTTTTGAATAATATACACTCATTATAAATATAATAACAGTAATTAAAAGTAATAGCAACTAAACATACATTGTGCTTTGAATAATTACATATTTCGAGGAATTTGTTTGATAAAACACGGTATGGGCTTTATAGTGACGATTGTACATATACAGTATAAAAACAATTTTTATACATAATATACATATGACATAATATATGTTCTTATTATTTTGTATACTTGTCCCTACGTAGTCGTATCAAGTTACCATAAATAGAATAAATGTACCTATATTTTTTTATAAAATAATAATAATAAAAAGTAATTTATTTGTGAAAAATCGCCACGGTATTTCATTACGTTCATAATGAAGACAATTCCCAAATGTATTTCGTGGAAATATGACTCCGACTGTCTTGTTACCGATATTAGACGGAAAATAATATCTCTGCATTTATTTTAAAGTGTGATCAAAATGATAGGCGCATTTGACATAATATGACTTATAAGCAT